TTGTACTGGTCCTAGAGGTCACTGATGGTGCTCTTGTACTGGTCCTAGAGGTCTCTGATGGTTCTCTTGTACTGGTCCTAGAGGTCTCTGATGATGCTCTTGTACTGGTCCTAGAGGTCTCTGATGGTGCTCTTGTACTGGTCCTAGAGGTCTCTGATGATGCTCTTGTACTGGTCCTAGAGGTCTCTGATGGTGCTATTGTACTGGTCCTAGAGGCCTCTGATGGTGCTCTTGTACTGGTCCTAGAGGTCTCTGATGATGCTCTTGTACTGGTCCTAGAGGTCTCTGATGGTGCTCTTGTGCTGGTCCTAGAGGTCTCTGATGGTTCTCTTGTACTGGTCCTAGAGGTCTCTGATGGTTCTCTGACCTGAGTGTATTTCAGTCTAATGTCTGTGGTGTCAGTGTAGAGTAAACACAGAAGAATGTTATCGAACAGGTGGTTTTCTAATCAAACAAAAGCAGCATCATCTGAACTTTTGGGAACATTCCCTACATTCATGACAGTCGCTGTGGTCCTGCAGGTCGTCAGGTGACATCACAACTGACATCACAACTGACATCACATATGACATCACAACTGACATCACAACTAATCCTGAATTCCCACATCTCTAATGATCAATCTCACAGTTTGTTTACTTTCTTTAGTTCAGGCCTGTTCAAACTAAGGCCTGCAGGACTTTTGATATGGCCCTCTGCCTTGACCATAGACTGTAAAAATTAACGGACAGAGTCACACCTATCTCCGTCGTTCTAACTAATGGGCCAAAAATGGTGCTCTACTGGAGCTATCCAAAATGGCCGCAAGTGGTCCCGCCCACAAGAAAATTGTGAAAAAACGGCGCAGCTCCATTCATTTGAACGAGAGACTTCAAAAATTCACAGCGACTAAACTAGACTGGTCCAAAAAAATTCCCCCCCCTCAGCATTGACACACATGTGGAACGGAGCTTTGGGCCCAGAGCCAACTTTTGGACCATCCTGTAAAGAAGTTTTTGAGAGGTAAGAAAATGCTATATGTTAGCATTGGCTAATTCTTCTTCTGGGTCCACCCCCATCGGCCCGGGGTGGTATTGCAGCATGTCAGCGCTCGTCATTTTGGCCACTTTTGAGCCGGGACCCGCCCCCACTGGCCTTGACCCAAAGTAGTCTTTGAGATCACAGTATCATCCAGCCAACTCCAGCTCTGCCAACATACTGTAGGCACATTGTAGGTGGTGATTTAACATCTATTCAGCCAACTTCAGCTCTGGAACGTGAATTTAACATTTATCATTCAGCCAACTTCAGCTCTGGCACATTAATTTAACATCTATCATTCAGCCAACTTCAGCTCTGTCACGTAAATTTAACATCTATCATTCAGCCAACTTCAGCTCTATCAAGTGAATCAATATAAGCATGTTATACCTCATGTTAAAGCTCAGAACAGCCTGAATCCAGTTGGACAATGTTGATGGAGTCAAGTGTCCCTGTTTCTAAAATGTTTGGACACCCCTGGTTAGTGAATGCTGTAAAGTGCACACAGAGCCCGGTCATGTGCAGAATAAGTAAGTCAGTAAGTAAACTTTATTTATATAGCGCCCTTCATAGACCAGGGTCACAAAGCGCTTCACATAGTATAAAAACAGATATAAAACAGACATACACATTTTTAAAGGCCAAGACAACCATGTAAAAAACAGCAAGACAAAATTATGCAAAAGCCAGAACAAATAAATGTGTTTTAAGTTGACTTTTGAAGCACTCTAGAGACTCTATGAATGAACAGGAGCCAAGAGAATGATCCAGAACAATGTGGAAATGTTGTGTTTATATATCTCATACATACTACTGTAATAATATGCAGCAAGTGAAGGACAAGACTCTGGAGAGCAGCTTCAGTGACAGACTTATTCACTCCTGCTGTGTGAAGGACGTCTTTCCTACCTGCTGCTGTCAAACTGTACAATGAGAACTGCTTAACCCAGGGGTGTCCAAACATTTTAGTAAGAGGGCCACATTAGTTCACCAGACTAGTCCAGCGGCCGATGTCACAGAACTGAAGTTGGCTGAATGACACATGTTTACCATCTCACAAGTCCACAACTGAATTCCAGATGTACTGGGCTTTAGAAGGAGTTACAACATGTTTATATTGGCTGAGCTGAAGATGGAAGGATGACACATGTTTATGATCTAAAAGACTACTTTGGGTTAGCAAGGCAGAGGGCCACATAAAATAACACTGAGGGCCGCAATTGGCCCCCGGGCCTGAGTTTGGACATGCCTGGCTTAACCTGTACATGTCATCTCAGCTGTAAATAGTAAATACTGTCCCCTAAATGTCACTTTTTCTACGTATTATCCTGATTCATGTAAATATAGATTGATTGATATTCGATTTCTCCAAATACAGTAGTAGTTTGTGACGAGAAATGGTTCTTATCTCATCTACAGAATACAAACATGAGAACACACACGGCCCTTATAATCTGTTCTGCCATTTGACTTTAAACTCTTACAAAATTCCAAAGAGACGGAGCATTTTGGGAGCACTGACTTCATTTGAGAAAAGTGTAAACTGTTTTGGGAGAGATATACGTTTTTGCAAAAATATGGTTTTATCATTTTTCATAGATTCTAGTTTTATTTTTATCTTCAAAAATAAAGTTGACATGTCTGAAATTAGATCAGGGGCCAATTGGGAATCTTACATTTTTCTGGAACCAAGCGTTTGTGTGAGAAAAGCAGCCGTAGTAATGACAATAGCTGTAAAGGTAATAGTTTTTGTGGAGACTTACTTCGCCCCGGAGCCCAGCTGCTTGAGGATGCTCAGAGACTGTCGGAGCATGGTGCTGCTTTCCCTGGTCTCCAAAAAGTCCTCTGCAAAGACCAGATCCACACGCGTTCATTAGGCTCTGGAATCAGAATGTACTGGTCTGTCTTTGCTCTGGCACGACCATGTGTCACAGGCCGCAGTTTTGGTTCCTATGTTTCACTTTTCACATCTACAGCATGTCTCAGAATGAGGAAGTTGCTGAAAAGTGTGGCGACTGAGGTGAGTCTAGCACTGATCAAATATAAGGAAGTCCACGAGTCTGAGTTTTACGTACAGAACTGTACGTAAAACAGTTCTGTACAGTTGGATTGAAGCCTGTTGCTTACTTTTGTTATATCTTATTATGAATTCTATAAAGTGAAAAATGGATGTGAAAGGCCTGAAGCAGAAAATATGTGCAGAAACGTTTCATTTCACAGAAGAATGTCCTTTTCCTTCACGTGTTTATATAGTTTTAATTAATCTGAAGCACAATTCCATAAAATAAAATGCTTTATTAAAAACAGATTCATTAACTTCCTGTTTGAAACCCGAGTCCTCACTTTGTCTCAGGCGCTGAACACATGCTGCTGTTTAAGTATAACCTACTGTTGGTGTTGTGGCGCCACCTGCAGGTGAAACCTAACCATGTTGGATCCCAGAAATTAAGTAGCGCATGCCCTGGTTAGTACTGTGATGGGAGACCAATAAAAATACCAGACGCTACAGTGGGACGTGACCCGTGCCTAACTTATCATTGTGTTGTTGGGCAAGACACTTCATTTATGGTGTATAAATATATATCATATCATTGCATTTCTTGTGTTTGATAAACATATCAAACACAATTTAAGCACCAGAGGCGGTGCTTAAATGCAAATTATTTCATTAATCATGCAGTTTTGCATATACATCAACATGCATTGTAGATATAAAGAATCCCCAATATATTTAGAAATAAATGTTTTGCATTTTTGTAGGAGGCAGATCATTTTGACTTGATCATTTTATAAGTAGCTCGCATGCTGAAAAAGTGAGCACTCCTGGTCTAGAGGATAGACTGCTGTAGATCCACTGGACCTAGACTGAGATGGAACAGCACTGCTCCCTAGTGTTGGAAACAGGCTATAGGTTTGCGAGAATGTTTTTCATTTACAACAAAATTAATTACATAATTGAAGGAAAGTTGCGTTTCAGTTATGTTCAAGTATACTCTCAAGCTGAAGATTTGTCCTCTGAACTTGAGCCCTTCAGTAAACACCAGTATGACCTCCATAAAGAACAGGACCCATCTGCAGATGTTCTGCAGGCCTGAAGCAGACACGGTGAAGCACCTCATGCTCAACATTTGGGAAAATAAATCACAGAACTCCACTTTACAAAAAGAGTTTATTCAACTTTCAATTTCTATTAACCATAGCATGAATTTAAAAGCTTTAACGATGTAGGACGAGCTGACGTTCAATCCACCGGACGAGAAATGCATCCAATATTATTTCAAAATATATTTTGTTTGTACAGTAGTAACTAAAGACATGGCAGAAAGGCATGGTTACAGTTACATTAAACTTGTTTATACCATTTGGATAATCAGCAAACTATGGTTTATGTTTATTAGACACAAAAAAACAAATATTGAATAATTGATTTGAAAAACCCAGAAATATTATACTGTAATAAACCAGACAATAAATTTGCAGAATGTGGTAAAGTTCTAAAATATGCTATAGGCCAACTTAGCTAAAAATGTTTCTAGAGAAAAACTTATTTAGTGAATCTCAGCCCAAACGCAGTTGCGCTTCTTGAAACCTTGACTAAATGGAGTTAAGCACCAAAAACATCCTCTGGGATGTCCACTGTAAAACCGGTCACTGAGTAAACTTGTAAAATGTGTAGAATGAAGGAATGGAAAGAACCTCAGCAGTTTTACAATAAAAACCCTGTGGAGGGGAGAGAGAAAAAGGCTAATTCAACTCTTGGCAAACCTAAGATCCTGCTCCGTGCCGCGGAGCTAGTGATCATAAAGGAATCCCAAAAGCTGCACAGCTTTTAGTCCATCGGGCTCCACCTGCGTCCTGCGTCAGGGGCCCTCAGAGGGCCCTCAGAAAGACTGGGGAAGAGCGCTGCGTTTGGTCCCTCACATATGCATCAGTCTTTCTCCATCCCCTAGAAGCATGAGCGCATATTTGATGGTGAAGGACTAACGCTTTCCTTTGGCTTCTTCAGCATCTTTAAAGAACACAGATGGTGTCAGTGTCACGCAGGCCTCGTTCTGAACATGAGATCTTACCCTTCTTTAGTTCGTCCCTCTTCTTGGCAGCGTCTTCCCTCTGTTTCTTGATGATTGCCAGTCGGGCCAGGTCCGCTCTGGCCTGGTCAGTCTTCCCCTCCAGATGCAGCTTCATGTAGCGTTCTTTTGATTTCTGCTTCTCTATCTCCTCTCTGACATGATGCAAGAAGGAAATTTATTTACAAATTTTAAAATGTTTTTTCCCCAAACAAAAACATTAAAGACTGAACAGGACGGCACCTCTCTCTGCGGGACAGCTCTTTAGGCGCTTCTACGTCAAGCTCAGCCACTTTCTTGTTCTTCTGAGACACACGATTGGGGTTTTCAATTTCAATAAGGCCCTCAACCCCGCTCCTTTTCCTGTTCTGGAGGAAGAATAATGTCATTACCTTTAAAAAGTGCTTTCAGAGGCCAATTTTATTGGTTCACTTTTATTATACAAGTTGTTGTTGAATTCAACAAAGAATGAGTTCCAACAATAGCTTGACTTTACTTACAGAGTCATCATCACTGCTACTTTCTTCTTCAGACTCTGAGCCACTTCCCTTCTCTGCTCCAGCAGCCTCCTGAGACAAAACATTACTTTATAAAACAAGGATGCAGACCAGCTTTGGAAGCGCCAATGAAATATATGAAAGCTAAGAAAAAGTGACTTGCAGATGACTTTATAAAACTTATTAATTTTACATCTGCAAGTCACTTCTACACATCAAATATTCCGTGTGGAGAGAAACAAACCATCTCTCTTTGGACGCGCATCTGTCGGTCTATCTCCTCCGGGTTGCTGAATTGCTTTCCACGGCCTTTATGGCCCTTTTTCCCTGAAAGCAAAGATTTCATTATTGAATGACACCTGACGTTTCCGTCATAACGATGATCAGACTTATGCTTATTAACCAGTATGAAATACGTCATAGATGCAGTTTATTGTAACCGTGTTACAGTTGAAAATGGTCATGTTTGGAAGCTGGATCTCTCTTGTGTCACCCCAACTACCCAGTAATGAAGCCAAAAGACCCTCCATTTACTTCTTTTGTGTTTAAAACAAACAGCAGGCGCCATTGCTCTACGCGCTGTGCTAGCTAACTAACCCCGGGCTTATGTCCAATTCAGACAGATCGATTGAAGTGAGGAAACCTGTGGACACATTCAACACACAAAGGACACAATCACGACAGCACAAAGTTGAGAGCGCAGTGGTGTTAGCACATGTGTCACTGCAGCGGTATTTCATCAGCTACTAGTGTATGCTAACCAGGAGCTAGCTCAAACTACAGCCATTAGCTACACTCAGGATTCCACTCTTAACGTTTGTGTTCCCAGAAAACACTTACCACCGCGCGGCATGGCTGACACTGAGCTGGATCCACACAAAGCCCCAGAAAGAGGAGTTTTATAGTGACAAATGTGGTCAAGTACACGGGCTGTAGCCGCAGCTGTGGAGCCCGCACTCACCGGAAAGGCTCTTTGCACATGCGCAGTCCACTTGTGCAAGAGGGTTTTCGTTTTTTCAATTTTCCTTTATTTAACTAAATTAAAAACATAAAATGGAAGAAAGTTGTAAGTAATCGTATTTATAACCAAGCAACTATTATTATTGTATGTTAACAATAAGACTCCCAGAATTCACAAACTCCCGGAGCCGTTATTTTGACAGCTCCCCACTTCTAAGAAATTGCATTCAAATATAGTTTTCCACCAGATTTATCAAAAATAATACGACTTGATAAAAGTAAAATGATCTTTTACTAAGTGCTAAAATTGGTTAATATAACAGCAGAAACAGCATTTGGTAGTCTTTCAACACTAACTGCTGGAAAGTGTTGCTATGGTAACTATGGTCACCAAACTGACCGAGCTCAGAACTAGTCCAGCACCCTTGAAAAATAAGCGGTGCAATTAAGAATAGCCCTCGATTATTAACAGTTAATTAAGTGCCAATTTGTGTACCCTAACTTATACCCACAAAAGCCTTGTAGAATTATGGCTAATAAGTGCTTGATAAATACCAACTAAGAGCTAATCAACCATAAACTATACTTATTAGCACTTAATTAGCTGTTAATTAGTGAGGGCTAAATGGGCTTAATTTTCCTTAGAACGTTGGTTAACAAGCAACCAAAAAAGGCAAAATTTGAACAACTCACATATCACAAATAAAAGAAAATTTTATAAAAATTATGACATAGAAAAGAAGTATATATGGATACAGAAGTTGTGAAGACCAAAAAGTGTACATACATACATTACACTTCCAGAAGTGACTACTCTCTTAATGTGCATATAAAAACAAAATTACATAAAAACATGTTTCACAGTGAGTTTACTGTGACTGGACTTGCATCTTGCTGCTTTTCCGTGGCTTGTGATCTAAAGGTGGAGGGTCTGCCACTTTACCTTTGATTATGCACAAAAAGAAATCAACAATTTCACCGCCTGTTCCACAGCACAGTGTTAAGCTTAAAGACATTTGTTTGTGTCCAATGTGGATGGATAAGTTACAGCTCATATCTGGGGAGAGGTGAGAAAATCACTATTAAGAATGTTGCAAGGCATATATAATAACAAAAATGTATAATTGTTTAATATCTCACTTCCACCTTCTTTACATTTCAAACAAAGTAATAACATCTCAATAACAATCGACCACATTGGAGCGTAGACACCATTTAGGCGCCAAAGTACCAGAATTACATGAACTCTACCAGGACTCTATACAGTCTGGCCTTTTCTTTCTTCTGTTGATTTCTGTTGATAGTCATGCATCTCTCAGGGCTCCACCTTCAGCCTGTTCCACGTCAAACCTAAAGCATTGATAAAATGTTTATAGGTTCCTATTTGATTTTTCCCTCCGACAAGATTACACATTGATCTTAGCGTTTTCAGATATTAGAAGGAATGTACATCTCTGAGCACTGGCATCGAGCATTTGTCATCTGTGAGTAATGGCCTTTATGACACTATTTGTTTTCAGATCATTTGAGAGACAAAAACACAAGACTCAATAATAATGAAGAACATTTCAGTCTCTTATGGTCGATGAGGCTTTACATCTTCTAACTCCTTCTCCATCAGGTGATATTGAACCGTCGTCTCTGTCAGCTGGAAAAGTCGGCACATATGTGTAAAAGAACACAACAACAACAACTGAACAAAACATGACCATATGTTTTTACCATGTCCATGAGGATTTCATTCTTCACTTTCAGGAGGTTGTTTTCTTCCTCTAACTGGGTGTTTCTTTTTTTAAGTCTCTGCACTTCTTTATTTGATGCAGTTCCACCAGACTCTTCAAAAGGAAAAAATAAAGAAGGTTCACTTTTGGCATTTAATGTATTTCTAAAAACTTGGCTGTTCCCATAATATCCAGTTTATTAAAGTACCCCGTTATAAAAGCTACTAGAATCAGAACTATTGCTGTCATTGTAAGTAACAGGAAGTCAAAATGAGAAATTTGCTTTGGATTATGGTCATGTTTAAGCAGATTTTTAAATGTTCATGATTTATGCCTGATGTGTTATGGGTTGTGACCATAGACTGTATATAATAACGGACAGAGTCACGCCTATCTCCGTCGTTCATAGGAGTTGGCCCAAGCCCCAGCGATCCAAGATGGCGCCCTATTCAAATGAATGGTTGTGCTCAGTGGCGCTTTGTGACGGCATGGGGGCTGAAAGATTAGCGGAAGTCGCCTGAAACTTGCAAAGATCTACGGGAAACTCGCAAAGATCTATGGGAAACTCGCCTGTATTTGGGCATCGTCTGGTCCTCCCGGTTCTGCGCAGTGGATGATCTCCCATAATGCGTTGCGCCAAACACGCATGTGTGGGTCTCACACAGGGTCTCACGCACGTGCACAGAGGGGCTCGGCCGCGCTCTGACCAATCAGAGCAGTTCATCAGAGCGGGAGTTAGAGCGAGAGCCAGACGAGCAGAGTTTGTGGCACTAAAGTGTGGATTTAAACAAAACCGAAGGATTTAGTTCAGTATGACAAGGGACACTAAAATCCCCACAAAATCCTATCTTTATTAAAGCTGTAGGTTCTCTGTCAGCTGAGGTTGAGCTGTTTTAATATGCATTGAGTTCTATGGGGAAAATTTCTGGGTAGCCCACGTGAATTTAGTCTGGTTCAGTCTGCAGTACCGCGAGAATCCCCCGAGCACATGGGTTATTCAGCTACAAGCTAGTAATACCCTATCCAGTTTTTATAATAGATCCATGCTAATGGGCCAAAAAATGTGCTCTACTGGAGCAATCCAAAATGGCCGCGAGTGGTCCCGCCCACAAGAAAATTGTGAAAAAACGCATCTGCGCATGCGTCAGCCGGCGCAGCTCCATTCATTTGAACGAGAGACTTCAAAAATTCACAGCGAGTAAACTAGAGTGCACCAAAAAAATTCCCCCCCCTCAGCATTGACACACATGCGGAACGGAGCTTTGGGCCAAGAGCCAACTTTTGGTCCATCCTGTAAAGACGTTTTTGAGAGGTCTGCTAACGCTATATGTTAGCATTGGCTAATTCTTCTTCTGGGTCCACCCCCATAGGCCCGGGGTGGTATTGCAGCATGTCAGCACACGTCATTTTGGCCACTTTTGAGCCGGGACCCGCCTCCACTGGTTATGACAAGCTTTCTGTATGAAATGTGCTCTACAAATAAAAGTTGATTAATTGATTGCAGACTAGTAATAACGTTTTTTTCTTAAGATATAAGGCATGCATTAAAAATAAATATACATATAATCTTAATATACATCTACATTCAATTCAATGTATTCTTGTATAGCCCTAAATCACAACAGCAGTCATTTCAGAGGACTTAAAATCATTGAAATCGCCAACACAGATCAGAGAATCAACAGTTAAGACTCAAAACATATAGAGCACATAGATATTGGTCCATAGGGAGAGACCAATGTCCATGAATGTTGGTATCGACAATGCTAGGACACTTAGATGCAATATACACATTTTTGTACATCATTATTGTAATATAATACAAGCTTTATCTTCTGTGGATCAGAGAAGAGACTTTAATCTGTTTGTTAAAAGTCCCTCCATGGCCTCGCTCTGAAGTATATTTGTGACATGTTAGTGCCATAAGGACCAAGGAGGACTCTTGAGGAGCACAGGGACTGGCCTCTAATAAGCAGCATTTCAGATTTATGCAACTAAAATGATTTATGCTTCTTGAAAATGTCTATTCTGGCAGTGTTCATATCCAGTTTGAAGACAGTTCTGTTTGGCTGTGCATACAACTCAAGGTTTTATATTGACTCTTTTTAATGCACTGTGGTTATTTAGGATTTTAATGTTTGTTTTTAATACCTTGCATGATCTTAATGGTCGTTCCTTTTGTGATTTGAATGTTTATGGTTTGTGTGACAAGGCTGAGAAGCACTTTGTGTAGGAAGAGCCCAAGTTTACAAATAAAGGTTGAATGAGGAAATGTTGCAACTCATTAAATACAAATCTTAATAATGGTAATAAGTTGCAATCATTCCAGCAATTGCATTACATTTCAAAGACAGCCTGTTATACAAATATAGTACACGTTCATTCAAGTATCTGTTAATAAACTATTATAATGATATAGTTTTCAGACAGTATTACCTGTTATCCACTGTCCTTCTTCAAACTTCCACATTTGACCACCAAGGTTCATACACGGTGGTCCATATTCAGTACCTAATTCTATTTCTCTCGTTGATCTGTCCAACTATGAAGTGAAAAAGTCATGTTCAGTCAAAAGAGCATCGTATAAAAGAAAACTGTAGCTAAATGTAAACTCACGGTGTGGAGACTGGACAGAGAGGCAGCTTTTCGAGCAGGAGTCTTCTTTGGACTAAACGTGCTTCCAAACAATGGCATTCTCAGAGACTTTTTAATCTCCTGCAAATGTACATTAGGTTAATTTTGAATACGAGAAAAGGTTAGATATGAGCAACGCCAAGCTACATAAGCACAGAGCAAGCCAAGCGTCTACTGCTGCTGTTGCTACAGTAACTGCGCTATGCTAGCAGCTAGCACCTCAGCTACTGCTACTGTCGGACCTACTCGTACCTGTGGTTATGCCTGAAACATGGATGTATTTCAAATGGTCCTCGTTTGGATGATAGATGACCTGCCACTGCAAAAATGTCAGATAGTTACCTCCATGTGGGCAATTTATTGAATATTCCCCTTTATCCAGCCATAGAGTGTAAACAGCAGAAAATGTACTTTGCGCATGTGCGTTAGGTAAACACGGGGGTGCTTGAAGTGGATGACCCTGGGTTTATTACTATATTTGTTCAATAATACTGTGATTGTGTGCAGTTATTGGCAATATTACACTACATTGAAATTGTGATGTGTCAGAACAATGAATGTGGTGATGATAATGTTGAAATAGGAGGTTATACTATACAAGCATCCCCTTACGAATGGCACAAACCGCACAACCCTTGAAGCTATACTTTATCAACTTGGTGAGAAATATACGATATTAAATAAACTTGATTGTACTCTATATGTAAATGTGTGAATATTGTTCATCCCATGCTAAATGCGAATTCAACGCTTGAAAATTAGTTTAAAACATTTAATTATTCCTAAACCACGCCCAGTAAGTATGCAGCCCCAGTGGCCTAATGGATAAGGCACTGGCCTCCTAAGCCAGGGATTGTGGGTTCGAGTCCCATCTGGGGTGATCGCTCTTTTCGTTTCTTAATTATTTTTTTAAACAACGGGGATTTTTTTAACCTCTCTTCGCTTACATATGACTTGATTTTTTCTCCGTCTTATCTTAGCGCCGCGGCAAGAATGAAGAGACCCAGGCATTTGTGCATTTTTCTCAGCGCATTGATGGCATCTGTGCAAAGTTATAGTAAGGCATTAACAAAAAAATTAAACCGCAACTGAGTTATGTTTCAAAACAGCAGAGAGAAGCACTGCTACCCAAATAATTAAAATTGGTGTGTGAAGTATGTTCTATTTTATATAGATGCTGCTGTAATTTTCTCTTTTTATTTGTTTTTCTGAATAAAAGCTGAATTCGTAACGGGAAAAATAGTGGTCCTGATGTCATTATCCATGAACAGGGTCATGTGAATGTAGTTAACATATACATTATAATGATCTACATTTCCTCGTCATATTGAACATGTTAAAAATATGACCTTATATAATATATGTTATCTAACGTGTCTTCTCTTGCAGCAGGGCTCCGAGAGGCCACCGTGTATTGGGATGCGGCCCAGAAGAGCGTGGTGTTGAGGGAGGGGGTGATGGAGGCTGATGGGGGAGCTTACGGTTTCTTCAATGACTCTCTGCTCCTGACGGGATGGGGCGTCCTGGAGATTTGTGCTGGGTGTGGGACACAGGCAAAGTCAGAAGATGAGACCACCCTGTTTTTGGCAGGGTACCTGGAAGGATTCCTCACAGCTGAGTGAGTATTAGTCAGGGGTCTCCAACCTCCAGGAGAGCTATTACTGTACATCACTAGAAAATCATGAGCTGTTATTGTAGGTAGGTGAGAAAAAGCCACATATTGAAGAAAGAAAGGCCTTTAAACAAAATGTATTTCATTGTGACACGCAGCTTTATTCTTTATTTCATTACATTCATGCATCGTGATAAGAATTTGAGACGTGCCTGACTTGAAATTTTGGTCTTCTTTTTCAGTCTAGCCTTACATGCACATTCAACAATCTATTATAATATACTAGTGCAAAAAAGGGCATTACTTGTTGTATAATGTAATATTTATAAAGAAAATGTATCCATTCTAAATCCTTTGGGGAGCTGCTTAGAAAGGTATGGCGAGCTACTGGATATGTAGGTTAGAGACCCTGATCCAAGTCTTCATAAAAAAAGTATGAAGTTTGGTTCCAGTTTCTGTTCTTCTGCCAGGTCAGCATAAAGATCATAACACATACATTTGAAAACATTTAGTGAGGTTGAAAATGTGTGAACAATGTACGTCAATATGGCCGTGTTAGTGTGTGGCCCTATATCACTACATTTTTTACTGGTCATACTACACTAAAAAAATGTATGTAGAAAAATATGTGTTGATTTTCTTTTGTTTAGTTTCCCATACGCCCTGTATTCATTCATAACCCATAACATTCAAAATCATTGTGGTAGAAGGGTGTAGGGGCGGCGTGCACAGGGGAGGAAATGTAAAAATAGCAACTTAAATACTACGTACAGTAAAGTATGTGTTGGGAGGACAAGTGCATATCACGTCTCATTATTATTATTATTATAAATCATTCAGTTTCACAGCAGTCTTAGTTTTCACACGCACAAAAAAAAGACAAATTATGTATTTTGTATGTTTTGGTTTTATTTAGATCCTCATTAGCCACTGAAATGTATTCTTTCTGGGGTTTATGTACTCAACACATTGACATGAAAATGAATGTGCAAACCCAAATTATGCTAAAACAAAAAATATGCACGTACGTTTGTCTGTACGTAGGCACACACACGTACAGATACACACCCATACACACAGACATAAACACACACACATAGACACACACGTACAGACACATGCACAGTGCACACACAAAGACATAGACACACCCACACACACACATAGACACAAACAGACACAGATACACCCACAAAGACATACACGTACACACACACACACACACACACACACACACACACACAGAGACATAGACCCACGCACACAAAATCAATATCAATGTCATTTCTACATGACATTTAAACTTGTACCTTTCCAAAGCCTCGGACACAGCTGTGCTCTCTGTAACAACAATAAACTATAGTACTGTAATAACATTTAAACATGTGTCTGTCCGCAGGCAGATGTCCAGCCACTTCTCCAACATGTTTCCACAGATCGTCAGAGATGAAAATGTGTTAAACTCCATCAAACGCTTTCTAAAGTAATCCTTCACAGTACTACTTTACTCCGATTTGATTCAAATGTCCATCATGTACTCTTTCTGGACTATAAGCCGCATCTGTATATGAGCCGCACCACCTACATTTTAAACGGAAATCCATCTTGTCCACATATAGGCCGCAGGAGGAACCACTGTAGATCCAGGACTGAGGCTGTGGATCCAGGACTGAGGCTGTAGATCCAGGGCTGAAGCTGTAGATCCAGGACTGAGGCTGTAGATCCAGGACTGAGGCTGTAGATCCCGGACTGAGGCTGTAGATCCAGCACGAGGCTGTTTATTGCCGCAGGATTCAAAGATAGAGAACAAAGCAGCGGCTTACAGTCCGTAGATGATGGCAAATCCTGTATAAATAAAAGTATAGTGTAAATGAAGACCATTCCTCACTTTAGCACCTTGTTCTACAGTAAGCAGGAGCTGTGGGCCCGGGAGCAGGTGAAGCAGAGGCGACACTCGGACCCTCTGTGGCACCATATGGGACTGGTCCTGGCTCAGCTGGACGGCCTCCAGGCTGGAGCTGCACACTGGGCCAAGAGTAAACAGAGAGAGGTCTGTGAGTGAAGAGGTTCTGGAGGACCATGTCACGCTTCTCCTTCATCTGCCCCTCCCCCCTCTGCCCCTCTGCAGCCGCTGTCCGTGCTCTCGGTCCAGCTCCTGAACAGCATCGGGGACCTGCTGGATCTGGTCCCAGCCTTCACCCCACGCTCCAACTCCTCCTCGGGGCCAGCGGAGTTTAGGACCACAGGGATGGGCCACTGCACTGCTCTGATAAAGGTCAGACCTGTTATTCTCACTATGATTCTGAAGTGCTTTGGCTGCAGGGAAAGGTTAAGAGCTTTAAAGTGCAATATCTTAACATGTGTCCACTGCCACTTTACTTAGCCACTTCTCATACCCCCATGCTAGATACATAGATACAGTAGATAGATACATAGATAGATAGATGTACAGATAGAGTTATTAACAGTCTATGGGTCCAATTCTAACTTGCTAACTAATATTAAGCTAAAGCGGAAATGCAAACTGGAAGACAGGAAGAACTAAACTCACATAGCTCAAAGTCCTCCCACTGTGGCTAACGGCAACAGCATCTGTCAATCGCATTCAGCTGCAGCACCATACGCCAATCCTCACCTGCAGCGAAAAGGCACTGCTCGCATCAGCTTCATATAACGAGGAAGCTCCATCCAAGCAGCAGCTTAATTCGTGCCGCAACCCTCCTCCTCCCCATCTCCAACTCATTCTAGGCCAGCTCTTTCATCTTTCTCCTCGCTAATGCCAACAGGGTCTAGGCCTGGGACAGGGACAATGGCGCAGTTCTCTCTCTGCCGGGGTTTAAGCGCCAAATCCTAACCACATTCTTTAAAACACAATAAATGTAATCTTGCAAATATTGTCCTCAGAGTCATAAGTGTAAATTATGTGGCATCAGACTATTCCCCAATCAATATACAAGTCTAATAACACCCATGTTTTCTCTGTTTGAGTCCTTCCAGATTGAAAGTCCTTTGCCTCTCTCTGCCTCCCAGGTTCTTCCAGGCTTTGAGAACGTTCTCGTGGGTCACTCCAGCTGGTACACTTACGCCGCCACCATGAGAATCCACAAACACTGGGACTTCAAGCTTTCCGACCCCTACTACGCCGCAGGGAAGATGTCCTTTAGCAGCTACCCAGGTATAGCTGAATATTATTATTAATTTTTATTTTAGATTTAAATGAAATTGATCCAGAAAAAAGGAGTACAAATACAAAAGGGACAATGCACTACAATGTATACATTGTATATACAATGCATACAATACACCTCTGCAAAGATTATGTTAGATTGTATCTTTAGATAAAAAAAAATCATGGCTCTATTGTTTACACAGGCCATTAACAGTATGAAAATGATTAGCACTTGTCCCTGTATTCTGTCTAGTAGCCGCGAGATTCTCCTCTTTCTGTGATGCCTTTGTGTGTCTGCAGGATGCATGGAACTTAAAATGTGAATAGACTCGTTACATGCAGAGATCCCAGGCCTCTGTCCATAAAAAGAGGATTTTTTAAAATAGATTTTAACAAACTGTGATCCAATAATGAACATCATACCATATGGCAGTGTCAAAATCATGTTGGTCGGAGGCTGGATTTAAAAAAAAATAAATCTGCCTCACGACAATGGATGTAATTAAGCTTTTGTGCTAATTCCAGCATATTTACGTTGACGCTGTTTGCTAGCACATTGATCATATGTATTGTCTTACGTTTTAACAAATAAATAAATAATAATAATAAATATAGTACTATTTTAAATGATTTCAGGGGCCACTAAAATTGGCCTGGGTGACACCTGTGACACAAAGGCTTGATATATATATATATTACTTTGCCTGTAAAATGCTAATTATAGCCGCGTTTCCATCGCAGGAACTTTGGGGTAATTTTCCAGGGCCAGCCCTGTAGGTGCAGGAACTTTCCCCACAGGGCCATTTACAGGAACTTTTATGGGGCCCAACGGAGTCCCTTCTTCATGCTAGGTACTCCGTTGGGCCCTAGTGGGACTTGGGGTTAACCTGGCGCTGATTGGCTAAAGCTAGCACAGGCTCTGACGCCGAAAACACCAAAACAACCAGCATTTTGAAAATCCAGCAGCTTTAGCCTAGTAGCATTAGCCTAGTAGCATTAGCCTAGTAGCATTAGCCAAGTAGCATTAGCCTAGTAGCATTAGCCTTGCATACACCACTGGAAACAGCAAATAACAGCACGGCTAGATTCAGACAGAGGCATTGAGGCATTGCGTCGAAATGAAAAGACATATTTAGACATGTCAGCTTCACCTCAAAGCACTTGTCATTCATCACACTCCAAAACAAGCTGTGAAAAGTTTTTTTTAAAACTGAAGCAGGACTATAAAAAAACTCAAAGACCACAACAACCGGAGCGGTCACAAACGTAAAATAAACAAATGGGTCTGGCGCATGGATCTATAATAATAACGGGTTTGGCGTAATGAGTTTCGCTTATCCGGCAATCAAAACTCATGACGTCGCCGAGTGGTCCTACTGCAGTGGGGACACGGACACTGAGAGGAAGGTTCCTGTAAAAGTTCCACGCCGCTTCCTTTACCAGGAACTCCTGCGGTGGAAACACGGCTAAAGCATTCCAAATTTCACTCTGAACCAAAGCAGAGAAAATGGTCTGAACCAATCAGACTCTGCATCGACCCAGAGAAAGCAGCTCCTCACCAGCGGCTGCACCACCTGCTGCTGTGACACAAACTGACTTTACTGTTGTAGAATGATGTCTTTATGTGTTAGAATGGATGGATGTGTTTCTGCTGCTGGACCCCTGCAGTTTCCTGCAGTTTTCCTACAGTGATCGATAAAATATCTATCTATCATTCCATATATCATTGTATTTTAAAGGCTAACAAGGCCATTCTATTTATAAAATCCTTTGCACACAGTGATAACATTGTAAAGTGCTCTGGGTGACCTTGGTCTGTAAAATGCGCTTTATAAATAAACATTACTGACTTACTTTTACAGTCAACCTGCTGTCACTTTGCCTCTGCCCAGCGACCACGGATGAAAATCAGCTTGTTGCTATGTCCAGTCTGTGCTATCATGGATCTATTATAGTGTGCTAGACATTTATTGTACAATGTCCCTGTGAAATAGATAAATGAATAATTAGATAAAGAATAGATCGGTGGATGGATAGATTCATCTAAAAAAGTGCCTATTTTGACCTTTAAGTTAAATTACAGAGTGGACTTTTGAACATTATTAGTATCTTATAAGTTTAGCTTGTCTGATGAGTCCCCTGTCCCACTCTCCCACTCGCAGGTCTGCTCTCCTCCCTGGACGACTTCTACCTGTTGGGCAGTGGGCTCCTGATGACCCAGACCTCCATCTCAGTCTTTAACTCGTCTCTATTCTCGTCGCTGCGGCCGCACAGCCTGCTGGCCTGGCACCGCGTCCGCCTCGCCAACGCCCTGGCCCGCACCGGCCCGCAGTGGGCACAGGTCTTCTCCAAGTTCAACTCAGGTACCACTTGAACTGTGTGTTAAAGGACAACTAAACCCCAAAATCTACTTATTAAAACTGCATAAATATGTTTCTTATAGTGCTCTCTACATGTCCTGGTCATTTATGTTTGACATTTTAGTGCAAATTAGATAAAATCTCACTTTTGAGCCTAAAACCGTCTGTGTGGCGCCCTCTCTACCTGTTTGGTGGTACTACATTTGAATATTGTGCCTGGCCTCTCATTGGCTCTTGAGTACTGAGAGACGTCAGGTGGTGTGTGTGACGTCAGGTGGTGTGTGTGACGTCAGTTGGTGTGTGTGACGTCAGGTGGTGTGTGTGACGTCAGTTGGTGCGTGTGACGTCAGTTGGTGTGTGTGACGTCAGTTGGTGCGTGTGACGTCAGTTGGTGTGTGAGACGTCAGTTGGTGTGCGTGACGTCAGGTGGTGTGTGTGACGTCAGGTGGTGTGTGTGACGTCAGTTGGTGTGTGTGACGTCAGTTGGTGTGTGTGACGTCAGGTGGTGTGTGTGACGTCAGTTGGTGTGTGTGACGTCAGTTGGTGTGTGTGACGTCAGGTGTTGTGCGTGACGTCAGGTGGTGTGTGTGACGTCAGGTGGTGTGCGTGACGTCAGGTGTTGTGCGTGACGTCAGTTGGTGCGTGTGACGTCAGTTGGTGTGCGTGTGTGTGACGTGCCTCTCTAAATTCCAGTGGTATAAACCATAGACATATTCAACATCTATCTCTAACTACTATCAGTTATGGTCCATTAATTAGCTGTTAATTAGTGAGGGATAATCTAAAGTGTTACAGATTTTTTAATAAGGGATTTGATGAAGAAAACACTTGCTAAATGAATGCAAGTCCTCCCACTTAAAAACATGAAACGTGTGACAGTTCGAAAAAGAGGAAGGACCCGAAAATCATTTTTTTAAAGATGTTTAAAGAATTTATTTGCAAATTATGGCGGAAAATAAGTATTGGTCAAAGATAAAAAAAATCACGCAATGTTGGCAATGACAGAGCTCAAACTTTTATTCAGTTCAATGTATTCTTGCCCTCAACCACAACAGAAATGATCTCTGGGGACTGTACAAAGTTGTCAATTAAACCACAACAGCAGTCTTCTCGGATAACTCTGCAAAGTTGTCGATTTACCAACAACAGATCAGAAAATGATGCGAACACAGGAAATACAATAATAACAAACACATCGGAGCAGGTCCAGGGATGACCACTGTCCGACAGTTTTTTATAAATATAACCCAGGACTGAGGCTGTAGATCCAGGACTGAGGCTGTAGACCCAGGACTGAGGCTGTAGACCCAGGACTGAGGCTGTAGACCCAGGACTGAGGCTGTAGACCCGGGACTGAGGCTGTAGACCCGGGACTGAGGCTGCAGATCAGGACTGAGGCTGTAGACCCAGGACTGAGGCTGTAGACCCAGGACTGAGGCTGTAGACCCGGGACTGAGGCTGCAGATCAGGACTGAGGCTGTAGACCCAAGACTGAGGCTGTAGACCCAGGACTGAGGCTGTAGACCCGGGACTGAGGCTGCAGATCAGGACTGAGGCTGTAGACCCAGGACTGAGGCTGTAGATCAGGACTGAGGCTGTAGACCCAGGACTGAGGCTGTAGACCCAGGACTGAGGCTGTAGATCAGAACTGAGGCTGTAGACCCAGGACTGAGGCTGTAGACCCAGGACTGAGGCTGTAGACCCAGGACTGAGGCTGTAGACCCGGGACTGAGGCTGCAGATCAGAACTGAGGCTGTAGACCCAGGACTGAGGCTGTAGACCCGGGACTGAGGCTGCAGATCAGGACTGAGGCTGTAGACCCAGGACTGAGGCTGTAGATCAGGACTGAGGCTGTAGACCCAGGACTGAGGCTGTAGACCCAGGACTGAGGCTGTAGACCCAGGACTGAGGCTGTAGACCCAGGACTGAGGCTGTAGACCCGGGACTGAGGCTGTAGACCCGGGACTGAGGCTGCAGATCAGGACTGAGGCTGTAGACCCAGGACTGAGGCTGTAGACCCAGGACTGAGGCTGTAGACCCGGGACTGAGGCTGCAGATCAGGACTGAGGCTGTAGACCCAGGACTGAGGCTGTAGACCCAGGACTGAGGCTGTAGACCCGGGACTGAGGCTGCAGATCAGGACTGAGGCTGTAGACCCAGGACTGAGGCTGTAGATCAGGACTGAGGCTGTAGACCCAGGACTGAGGCTGTAGACCCAGGACTGAGGCTGTAGAGGACTGAGGCTGTAGACCCGGGACTGAGGCTGCAGATCAGGACTGAGGCTGTAGACCCAGGACTGAGGCTGTAGATCAGGACTGAGGCTGTAGACCCAGGACTGAGGCTGTAGACCCAGGACTGAGGCTGTGAGCTGTAGACGGACTGAGGCTGTAGACCCAGGGGACTGAGGCTGTAGACCCAGGACTGAGGCTGTAGACCCAGGACTGAGGCTGTAGACCCGAGGACTGAGGCTGCAGATCAGAACTGAGGCTGTAGACCCAGGACTGAGGCTGTAGACCCAGGACTGAGGCTGTAGACCCGGGACTGAGGCTGCAGATCAGGACTGAGGCTGTAGACCCAGGACTGAGGCTGTAGATCAGGACTGAGGCTGTAGACCCAGGACTGAGGCTGTAGACCCAGGACTGAGGCTGTAGACCCAGGACTGAGGCTGTAGACCCAGGACTGAGGCTGTAGACCCGGGACTGAGGCTGCAGATCAGGACTGAGGCTGTAGACCCAGGACTGAGGCTGTAGATCAGGACTGAGGCTGTAGACCCAGGACTGAGGCTGTAGATCAGGACTGAGGCTGTAGACCCAGGACTGAGGCTGTAGACCCAGGACTGAGGCTGTAGACCCAGGACTGAGGCTGTAGACCCGGGACTGAGGCTGCAGATCAGGACTGAGGCTGTAGACCCAGGACTGAGGCTGTAGATCAGGACTGAGGCTGTAGACCCAGGACTGAGGCTGTAGACCCAGGACTGAGGCTGTAGATCAGAACTGAGGCTGTAGACCCAGGACTGAGGCTGTAGACCCAGGACTGAGGCTGTAGACCCAGGACTGAGGCTGTAGACCCGGGACTGAGGCTGCAGATCAGAACTGAGGCTGTAGACCCAGGACTGAGGCTGTAGACCCAGGACTGAGGCTGTAGACCCGGGACTGAGGCTGCAGATCAGGACTGAGGCTGTAGACCCAGGACTGAGGCTGTAGATCAGGACTGAGGCTGTAGACCCAGGACTGAGGCTGTAGACCCAGGACTGAGGCTGTAGACCCAGGACTGAGGCTGTAGACCCAGGACTGAGGCTGTAGACCCGGGACTGAGGCTGCAGATCAGGACTGAGGCTGTAGACCCAGGACTGAGGCTGTAGATCAGGACTGAGGCTGTAGACCCAGGACTGAGGCTGTGTCAGGACTGAGGCTGTAGACCCAGGACTGAGGCTGGACCCAGGACTGAGGCTGTAGACCCAGGACTGAGGCTGTAGACCAGGACTGAGGCTGTAGATCAGGACTGAGGCTGTAGACCCAGGACTGAGGCTGTAGACCCAGGACTGAGGCTGTAGACCCAGGACTGAGGCTGTAGATCCAGAACTGAGGCTGTAGATCCAGGACTGAGGCTGTAGATCCAGAACTGAGGCTGTAGATCCAGGACTGAGGCTGTAGACCCAGGACTGAGGCTGTAGACCCAGGACTGAGGCTGCAGACCCTGGACTGAGGCTGCAGACCCAGGACTGGAAAATCTGTGGATTTCTTTGATGTACTGTACATTGGTTTCAATTCATTTTCAAATGCATCCACTTTAATTTTCCATCATACCTAAAGCAATACTTAGTTCCTTTCAGTTCATCTTATAGTCTCCGTCACAATGACATTCTTTTCTGTACAGATCCCAGAGCCATCAGAGATGTAGGGAAACGACTGGAACAGCCTTCTTGCTTCTGTTCGTTCCATAACTTCACTTCTTACTTTCTCACACACTTGCAAAATACCTCCAGTCTGTAATGAGTGGGACATCTTCAATCGAAGGCCTTAGGCAAAGTCTTTGTGGTACTTTTTTTGTCGGATAATTTGCAACGTATCTAATTTTTTTCTGTCTGTAATCTAATGGTCTAATCAGTGGTTTGTGTGCACGGGAAATGTGTACCTTTCACTCACGTGTGACATAAGTCTGTTTATGTTTGTATATGTTCTTAAACATGCTTCAAAATAATGTGATATCATCTTTAATGTATTGGTAGTGTTTGGAATCTTCATACATTTCTCTTATCTTTTTGTTTCTTTTGCTGTCGTTGTACACTGAAAGGCTCTACCCCCACGAAAACGAGATGATGCATTCCATGGGTTTATTCCTCTTTATATAAATGTCTAAATAAATAAAAAAAATTCTTACCCCCTGAAACTATCCAAGACGTCTACAGACTACAATATTTCGTGGAGTATTGATGGTTAGAATATACTGCAGATGCGTTTGATCATTGCGACTTCTGTAATCCATGTTTTTAATTTAAATGTCTTACATCTGAGTGTTTTTCACAGGTACGTACAACAGTCAGTACATGGTCCTGGACCTCGGCAGAGTCACTCTCCGCCACAGCATCAGAGAAGGAGCCCTGACCGTGGTGGAACAGATCCCGGGGAAAGTCATGCACTCGGAGCAGACTCAGGCTTTGCGCAGAGGTAATGAGCAGAAAACTTTCAGAGAGAATAGTAAACAATTTTATTTGAATGAAAAACACCAATTGCTTTTTGATTTACAACATGGAGAGAAATATGATTAACTCCTTTCAATTCAATTTTGTAGAACCCTAAATCACAACAGTAGTTATTCTAGAGGACTTCACAAAGTTGGTAATTTGCCAACACAGATCAGAGATTCAAACACAGCGAATGCAATGATTTAAACAAAACAAAATAAAAACAAAAAGAAAGAAATTGATTTGTTTATTGTTTATTGTTTTTATGTATTTTCATTTCATTACAAATTTTGTTTTAGATGTGTTGAACTTTTTTTTCGTTTTTTTCATTATTGTTGTTATTTTTATTTAGTATTCTGTTATTATAATCATTATTTATTCATTTAGTTATCAATTTATTATTTTGAGCTTCCCTGCCCATCACAAGGGAAAGGGGATATGGGGACCAAAATGGGGATAAAAAGTCAAGTGTGATGCATGCTAATCAGTGCAAAATGTGAACACATTGTCAAATACATTGTCATACTTGAATAAAAAAAATGGATCACAAAAAAAGAAATGGATTTGTCCATAGGGGGCAGATGTCCTTAAATATTGATAAATGTCGAGTGTCCTTAGACCCTCCTGCATCGGCAAAAAACAAAAAACAAATAGAATCTACAATGTTACATGAGGATCTGATCAGGAAGTTCTCAAACTCTACTCCTCCCCCTGGTGGTAGCACAGGGAGTTGCAGGTGGATACCACAATGAAAATGATTCTCTTACTAATTTATACATAGTATTTATTTGTTAATGTTTGGTTTTTATGTTGCTTTTTCCAAGTAAAAGTCTCATGTTTTAAAGATAAATCCACAGTTTGTGGAGAAATGTGAAGAAAAAGTGAATAAAGCAGTTTGTTTACTACTTTAGTTTACTACTAGTACCACTACTACTACTACTACAATCACTACTACTACTACTACTGCAACTACTAATACTACTTACTTGGAGGACTATTGACCCAGTCTGGGAGGTGGCATCTTTCTTGTATGAGGAAAACATTTGGAAAATCTTGAGGAAATTCTGAATGAAAACTATCTTTACTGTTTCATAGCAGCGTTTATGAAAAGCGTGACAATAATAATCCTTGTCTCTGTCTCTCGTGACGCTGCAGGTTATTGGCCGTCGTACAACATACCGTTCCATGCAGAGATCTACAACCTGAGCGGCTTCGTAGTCATGTGGCGGAGATTCGGTGAAGACTTTTCCTACGATCTTTCGCCTCGCGCCAAAATCCTGCGCAGGGACCAGGCCAGAGTCCACAACCTGGACTCGCTCAAGCAGCTCATGAGATACAACAGTATGTTTCTCTATGGTTTAAAGTTTACAGGAAGTAATGTCAGTGTGTTATGGCTATATTTCAGAATGATTATGAATGATCATCTGCAGCCTCTCCGGCGATAATAAACCAAAACAATATCTTAAAAGAACTAATTAACTTATAATAAAAACTACTGAACTAGATTGTCAGAACACAATTTCAAGATGGACAAATATACCAACACAAATACCTTTTGTCATTCATTGTTACCATTTGGTTGAAGCCATTTATTGCCAATTAAAACATAACTGAGCCAATCTGAGGAGATCTCAAATGAGTTCATGCAAGGCAGCCCAGGAATTTGCTGTGATTGGAGGCTTTTTTCCAAGATGAATGGGCAGCTTTTCCATCAGAGACGATAATGCACAACTACCACAAAGGACTCCAAGCTATCGGAGATGTAAAGAGGGCAACAGACGCCAGTGAGAACCTGGGGATGAAAATTCTGATCCGGGTCAGAAGAGAACTTTTGGGATGTCATTATAGTTTAAAAATAGACAACATTTGTATGACGATACACAGTATGAATATCAAACATGCATATCAGAAGTATAGCAGCAAAAAACAACACAGTAGAAAGTAGAAACGTACTTATGGTGCTTTCAGACCGGATCATGCTGCGTCGGGTTTCAATGCAAAGTCTATGGTGACGGGCGTTCGACCGTTGCAACGCACGGACCTCTCGGCACGCACAAACGGACTGTTCAGTAGACACGCACGGACTTGGCGGGAAAGTCAAAGGGGAGGAGCAGGAGCGAAAAATCGACGCCCACAGGAGATGGATTCTGCTCATCCTTTCCTTGGGACGTTCGTGCGACAACCAATGAGAGAGCAGCAAAGTGGTCACGGGGACATTAGCGGACTGAGCGAGCAGACTGAAAATACTCGTGAACAGCCATAACAGGACCCACACCAGGCTTCACCAGAACTCAAACCAGGGTTGACAATGGGGGACTGTGTGCTGACAAAATATGGGTTTTCATGTTCCTGTGACCTTATGCAACTGCTTCAAGTGTGTTCACCGATGTGGAAATACTGTTTAATAATATGAAAACACGTATGGCGCACCTCCGTGAACAGATACTACTGTTATATAAAGCCCGTAGAAAGTCTCTGTTCAGAGACACTCTCCAAAGCTGCATATTGGAGAAGATCTGTACACAAGAAGCCGCTAGCATAGCTCTGTTAGCATCAGAGCCGGCCGGCTACTTCCGGCTCGCGTCAGGACGTTCTGGTGTGAAGACCCGTGTGTCTGAAAACTAGAGAATGCGCGTCTGGTGAGCGGGGCTTCAGCGTTTGAGCGTTTGCGGTCTGAATGCGCCATAAGTCTCCTCCCTCGCACAGTTATTCCAATGTGGTTTTAATGCAAATGTCAGATAAACTGGATCTTGAGTCTATTGTCAATGTCATTGTAGATTACAAAAGGGATCCGTACACGAGAGGACATCCGTGTAAAAGCATCTGTTGCCGTAACGACCTGAGGCAGAGGAGGCCACGCCCCGGAGGCTGCTACGACACAAAGGTATCGGCTCAAACATGATGTCATTCACAGAACCACATGATTCTGATAGTCTCGGCTACAGCCATAATTCAAGTTCAGAGTAAACATAAATAGACACTATAGAAAGAACAACAATCTTCTCCAGTTATAAAAGAAAGTGTCAAATAATAATAGAAAAAAATGACTGTTTCTTTAATTATTTATTTTTCATAATTATTGCTTTTTTGACATCACATATATTTATAAAAGACCACATACAAATGGTTGTGAAATATTTTATTCTTTTTTATTTTTATTTTCTTCCAAGCTGTCCACTAAAGCCCTGGTTCAACTAGAGTACCAACTAGGGCCCTACTCTACCCTTCTCTACCTTACCCCTCCCTACCTTACCCTACTCTACCCTTCCCTACCCTATGCTACCCTACTCTACCCTATCCCACTTTACTCTACCCTACTCTTCCCTACCCTATGCTACCCTTCCCTACCCTACCCCACCTTACCCTACTCTACCCTTCTCTACCCTATGCTACCCTTCCCTACCCTACCCCACCTTACTCTACCCTACTCTTCCCTACCCTATGCTACCCTTCCCTACCCTACCCCACCTTACTCTACCCTCCTCTTCCCTACCCTATGCTACCCTTCCCTACCCTACCCCACCTTACCCTACTCTACCCTTCTCTACCCTATGCTACCCTTCCCTACCCTACCCCACCTTACTCTACCCTCCTCTTCCCTACCCTATGCTACCCTTCCCTACCCTACCCCACCTTACTCTACTCTACTCTTCCCTACCCTACTCTACCCTTCCCTACCCTACGCTACCCTACTCTACCCTTCTCTACCATACCTTACCCCACTCTATTCTACCCCACTCTACTCTTCCCTACCCTACCCTACACTCCCCTACTGTACCCTACCCTACTCTACCCTTCTCTACCCAAACCTACCAGTATGAGAACCGGTAGGGTAGAGTACCCCCTCTCTTCCTCCCTCCTCCTCTCTCCTCTTCTCTCCTCCACTATCCTCTTCTCTTCTCCTCTCTCCTCCTCCCTCCCCCTCTCTCCTCCTCTCTCTCCCTCTCTCCCCCTCTCTCCTCCTCTCTCCTCTTTTCTCCTCCCCACTCTTCCCCTCTCCTCCTCTCTTCTTGTCTAATTAAATGTGCATTTCCCACAAAAACAAGCCACTTTTCTTCTAAATCTAAACAAAAGCACACATTTCTGTCAAACCCACTTTGATAATTTGATCCAAACCCACGTCCTCCATGTCTGATCGTTGTCTTGTCTCTGTCTCGGAGCGAGGCCGGTTTTTACGAAGGCGTAATAGGCTTTGGCTTGGCCTTTTAAAACTCCCTCTGTGGCAAACATCATTAGGGCAGTGGGCGGACAGTAAAGAGATTATAAGTGTGTCTTGAGTCTGATGCTGTGGTGACGGTGCAGGTGACGGACTTCCAGATGGCGCTCCAGCTGGCGGTGGAGGCGGTGAACGGGCCCACCACACAGGGGGGTCTGCCGCCGTTCTCGTGGCGATCCTTCAATCTCACCGCTCACCACGGACTCCCGCAGATTTATAACTTCAGTTTTGTGAGATTGAAGCCTTCTCTGTCACGGCCGTAGAGAGAAAACACACAAGTATCATACACTGGTCTTTGTTTATCTAAAACGGGGATGTCAAACCTAATAGGGCGGGGGTTGGGGCCAAAAGTATAAAAGTGGTACCTTTTCATCCTTTTCTTTTTTTTGATATTCATTTTATTTGACATGAGGATATTACTTTAGGGTTGGATTCAATCACAACTGGGCCAAACATTTTAAAGAATATGTAATTAAGATATATAATTAAATATAGTAAAATAAATCTTTGGCCTTAACTCCTAATTACACATGAGTTACATTCACATTTTTGTACAAATGTAATGATGTGGATGTTTTCCTCAGAAAGAAAGTTTTAATTGAAGTATAACATGCCATAGTATCCCACAAATTTGCAAGTTACTGTAAAAAAGGATAAATTCAGGGGCCACTAAAAATGGGCCGGATTTGGCCCACAGGCCTGAGTTTGTCTGATCTCCAACATAATGTGAAGTGAGTGACATGAAGAGTCTTTGTATAAAACAGATATCTCTGTTTTGAAAATGTGTCAAAGTGGTATTTCTCTGGCTGCAAACTTCCAAAGGTTCTGTTTTATGCAGTACATTTGAAAGAATTTGCTCAAGAAGGAGTTAACATTGAATTGTGTGGTGTTAAAATATACCTGGCTTTTCATAACTGCACTTGGTAAGGAGATAATTGTAAGTTTAACGTATGACTAGTTATTTTGCAAAAACAGACGGAAGTAACATTAGAAACATATTATTAATTACTGCTTGATTAGACCTAAAACTGTGGCATAGCACAATACTGCTCTGTGTTTCCTATTTGGAAATGACTTAGGAGTGAGAAGGGAGGGCATTAATGCAATTTTAATGATGTGGAATAAGATACAGTAAGTCTCTGATGGAAGAACAATCATAAAGGCTAAAACCACACACGGTGCCACATCTGAATCTGTTTTATGGATCTCTTTTCAATTAAATGTATTTTTCTATAGCCTGAAATCACAACAGTAGAAATAAATCATTTTTAAAATGTGTGTCACTATTGTTTTTATTGTTAATGAAAACATTGTGGTTTTTAATGTTTGATGAACATGCTTATATGTTCAGATCCCATTTCCAATCTTAAAAAAAATAAATATTGATATTCCTGCATGCACTTCCACAAACTATGATAGAACTAGTGTTTTATAATCTAATATACTGTGTGTAATAAATATCATGTTTTTTTTGACTTAATAAAACTATGTCTGGATGATACGCATGTGTGTTGTTCTTTCTTAATGATTATTTGAACTTCTCAAGTTTGTCAAGATTCACTGAAAACACTGCAACACATTTCCTGTATTAATTCATGTTTTGATCAAATGCATGCGTTTGCTTTTGGTGGAAAATACCGATTGTTATATAAGGTCATGGTTATATGTGGAGTACACCGGCCTATACATAATATAACCTGGTAAGAATTCTGAAACTACTAGAATTCCCCAGAGCCGTTATTTTGACACAAACCAATACATCTGGAAAAAAACAACCAAAATTTTTTGTTTTTCACCAGATGTACTAAAAATAAGTAATTTCCATGATGTTAACCGTTATTCACTTTTAAATAAGTGTTAAAGCTGGTGAATGTAGCTTGGAATACAACGGAGGCTAACTGCTAACGGCAAATAGTGTGTTGCTATGGTAACTAGTACTGCGTTTTCTCTAGTTATTGGTAGAAGATTAACTTTATTGATCTCACAATGGAGAAATTTACAAGTCACATTTGGAATAGAGAGAATCACTCAGGGTGTGCAAAAAGACAGGAAGTGTGCAAACATTTTTAAAAGGTTCAAATATATGTCTCTTTGTGCAAGATATTTTATGTACAACAACATTAAAAGTCGCATTTCAAAAGTAAAAGATCATTTCATCAAAAACAATGACATAAATAAATAAACTACATAAAAAACCTGAAAAAAGCCACAAAATTATAAATACTAAAAAAGTACACGAGCGGAGTCATTACACTTCCAACACTAAAGCCGTCAAACTGACTGCTCTGGGCGTTCCACTGTGAATATTTACTTCAACGGTCGCGCTTTTACTTTGTAGCGTGGTGAGAGATCCGGTGTGAGGCAGCGTTCACCCGGAGCAGAGCAGGATCCAGGCTGAAGGGGCGGAGCGTGAGGCGCGGTGACCGACCAGCAGCACCAGGAGCCCGGACTCTCCATACCCGGACACTCGGTGGACTCAACCCCGGCCCCAGCTCGTGTTTCGCGGCTGTTCTCAAATGGCTACGACCACGGAGGACCAGCGGGAACTTCCCTCGGCCCCCGGGCAGCCCCTCAACAGCAACAACAACAATAATAACAATAATAACAATAACAAAGACAGTGACGCGGCGGGAGACAGCGGCAGCAGCACGGAGCCCAGCGGCGGAGGGGGGTCCCAGAGCAACGGGACGGCCATCAGCCCCACCGTCAGCCCCACCACGACCCACGATCCAGGGCTCACCCAGGGGGGAGGCCAGGGTCTCAGCCAGGGGCACAACCAGGGACTCAGCCAGGGGAATAGTGTGGGGAATAGTGCGGGGAACAGTGGGAAGTGGGTCCGCCTGAACGTGGGAGGCACCGTGTTCCTGACCACCAGACACACGCTTCTCAAGGAGCAGACGTCCTTCCTCTACCGGCTCTGTCAGCAGCAGGACCTGCACTCAGACACGGTGAGTCCCGCTCTGCTCTGCGGCCACAGGAGAGCCCTTCCCCCGGGTAAAGCAGAGGGTTCACCCGGGGAGAAGCATGGATCACAGTTCAGAGGCTTAAAACACACTCTCAGTGCAGTCAGTTTGACGGGTGTTAGTTTTGGAAGTGGAATTACTCATCTCATGTGCGTTCTTGGTTTTCATGACTTCAAGATAAGATAAGATGATATTCTTTATTCGGACATTTCAATGTTGCACTGCAGCGCACAGGCAGGACATTAGTAAGAGACACAGGGAGCACATAAAAACAAACAATACCAGTAGCTGCTTTGTTTCTTAGCTGTAAATGTTTGAATATTGATATATCGTTATCTATCTATAAATATGTATATATATAGTGCAAAATTATAAATAATAAATAAATAAAGTGGCAATCAGTGAACCCTCTGAAATTGCAGTATTGCACATGATTACAGTATTTACATTTACAGAACCCTGTCCTTATGTAGTTTATTTCCATATCAGTATTTTTCAAACACGAGTAGTTCTACCATTTGTACTCTTATAGAAGAGCCAGTACTAGTTACCATAGCGACACGCTGTTTACTGTTAGCAGTTAGCCTGACCCTTCTTGTATTTCAAGTTATATTCACCAGTCTTAGCACTTCTGTAAAAATTCAGGATTCCATTGGTTTGAATGGGAGCAGTCGAAATGACAGCTCTTGGAGTTCTAGTAGTTTCAGAATTCTGGGAGTCTTGGTGGTAATGTGGTCACTGCCACTGAATCCTTAATACATTTTAAACTATATCAAAACAACTTATGAAACCTCAGAAGAAATTCACCCAAAATAATCCTTTGTCCAATAATAGCATAATATATAAATAATTACCAAGGCATCGAGTGTTGAGTATTTGGCCAATCAAGTTTTATATGTAGTATTGTGACAACACCTTGACACACACACTTCACATTAGCAGCTTTTTAAAATGGCGTTATCTTTGTTTAAAGTGAACCACACTTAGTAACTTGCTCCAATCATGTGCAATACTGCAATATCAGAATGTGCAATATAGTCCTAAAGTGTCCACGTGTCACTTTATCCATTGTGCTCTTCTCATCTACATTATATTTATTGCTCCCAAGGTGATAGATCCTCAAAGCCAAATTTAAGAAGCGTTTACAGCTCTTCTATGTTCGCCTCTTGTGTCTTATCTTATTTCTCTTTCTATCATCTGCATTTTCATCCTCCACATGTGATCAGCAGCTTTCCCCTAAATGTTTAATACGCCTGCACTGAATATTGCAAGTCTCTTTGCCTCTACTGCGTTGGTGCAAAAACAAACTTCTATCTCCGGACCTCCACCCTCCAAGTACATCCAAAATATTTATAAAGATACAAATCATATCTACTGTTCTGTGTGGGAAAAGCTATGTGTTTTAAAGTGGATATTTTTATCATGGACTTTGGTCTCTGCTCCTTTTGCACCAATGGCTCTATGTGTTTTTATCATTGCATTTCTTGTGTTTGAACAGTTGGATTCTCTGATCTCTTGCAAATCCAGAGATAACTCCTGTTGTTATTTAGGGCCATACAAGAATACATTGAATTGAATCTCCCATGATTAGTCTGGGCAGTCCTATCATATAATAATTGCTTTGAACAGAGGTTGGTTTTGATTCGTGTGGACTCAAATTTGCTGACGACCAGAGCATGAGCAGTGAGTTTTGCCTCTGAGCTGCCTCTAACCTCAGCCTTAACGTGTGACTCTGGAGGATGAGCCACCCCCCTGCAGCTCTGCGTCTCCTACTCACAACGGGCAGCGCTGGTTTCTCATTGTTATTACTTGGCGGAGGGAATATATAGCTCCAGTCAGATGGATAAACACGTGCCTCGTCTCCTGCTGGAGCTTGACATCCTACAGTCGCGTAGAAGTGAGAGGAGGAAGAAGAAGGTTGAGGCGTTAAGGTTGCACTCCCACACGACGTTACGAGCTCATGAAAGATGCAGGAGACTGTTATGGTCCCAGACTTTTGATTCTAAAGACAAAAAAAACAGAAGAGGTCCTGCACTTTTTGAGCTGTCCTGGCTCCAGTGACATTTTGCTGCTTGCGGGTGGAAAATGCGCAGGACCTGAAATGTCAGCTGTTACGACAATTGCATGAAAATAAGCCCAGGGAGGAAGAGGTGGGCGAGAAGACTGTGAAAATGCCCAGAATCAAAGCATGTAAAGATATGTTATTAACTGCTATGACAGTATTTCACTATTCTCATCGTCGGCAGGTTTGTTGACAAGAATGGAATAAGTGAGGATTGATTTAATCTCGGAGAGCTCAGAGATTATCTGTCTCAGTGGTCTCCAACCTGCAGCTTTGATTTGATTACGTTCTCGAGTGTAATACAGAGTTACATATTAAAGATGCAGTCAGTGATTTTTTCCAAACGCATTTTTTTAAATATTGTGGAAAAACGTCCCTAAAGCCTAAAAGTAGTAAAGTTATGTGTTTTCAAATTGTAATGGAATTGACCAGATGCCTGTAGTCTCCAAAATTGAATACAAAATATTTTGGAGCGGACCGATAGAAATGAACCAATGGCATTCGTTAATCCCCAACGAACCAATGGGATGTGTTTACCCCCTTCACCCTCTTCCTGTTTCTCATGAGTGCACCGGAGTTATGGGATTTACTAGAACCTAAAATGGCTAAACAGAAAATGCCAATTTCACGTTTGCTGCCCACTCTCCCTGTTGTGACAAAGAAAAGAAAATGCTGGATGTTTGGTTTGGTGGAGAGGGAGGGGAGGGGGGAGTGGTTTCCAGTTGGTGCTACGGCTAAGCTATTAAGATTGCTTACTGCACCTCTAATATGGTTCATTTCTGTATAAAATGTCAGTGATTTACCACAGTTGTTGCAGAGACTACAGTTTTATTACAACTGTAAAAGTAGCTCTCCAATTGAAAAATGTTGGAGACCCCTGATCTATCTCATGAATGCAGTGGGTTACAAAAAGTGCCAATACAACTTTAACTTTTGCGCATGATTCTACATTTACAACCACAAACATAAGATAAACATTCATTGGTGCCACAGTGGGGAGATTTCAATGTTATCGTTGCACATTACGGCAGAATAAAAGGTGGAAATAAGAGCACTCAGGTTGCACACATCTAACAGGACAGATTTATTTATTATTTAAGATAACGGGAAATAAAATACGATGAAACTCTTGAGCTATAATTGCACTTCAAGGGTAAGTACATAAGTGGAGTACAGTACACAAAAAATGTTGTTATAGACCACAACAAAATAACATAAGACCACAACAAAGTAACATAACTAAAGTGAAAGCAAAAGTACACATGATTTATGCCTTTCCAACCTAGAGCCTAGAGCATGATGCTGCCACCACCAGGTTTGACTCTGGAGATGGTGTGAGGAGAGTGATGATTCCTGGTACCTGTAGTTTAAAGACAATGTTTTGCATTTGGGCCAAAAAGGTCAATTTCGGTCTCATCTTACCACAGTTTCTGCCACATGTCGAGGCTTAAAACCTACTCTAGCTTTCTGTTTACTACTTGTATTTGCTCCATGTACTGATGTCTGCAGCCCCTCCAGTTTTTCCGCTGAACGTTTGTCTGCATCTCCAGCCTTGTCTTGGTAAATTTGCAGTTGTGCTCAAATCTTGTGCTAGAGGAGGGGTCCCCAACCTTTTTCATACAAAGAGCTCCTCACTGTAAACCCTGACAAGTAAAGTTTACTTGAAAAAACCTTGGAAATAAATTGCATATTAACTTCACTTTAATCCTTTACTTGCCATTACCAAGTAAACTCAAGTGATTGCGATAAAGTTTGAATTTCAACTTATGCTCTGACCGGGATTCGTACTTACAACCTTGCGGTCGAGGGGTGAAGGTGTTACCCAATCAGCCACCAGGCCACCCTGCCATTGATACACCTGTCTCATTTAAGAGTCTACACGTCAAAAGTCAAAATGTCAAAAGTGAGGCTTACTTGAACAGAGAGAGTTCAATTCAAAGAAAACCCTGAGTGATATCGCCAAGCTTTAAATAAACTAACAATAAATGAGTAATATTCACTTACTGGGAAAAATCTATTTAAAATAACTTTGATATCTGAAGTACGATTGAAGTTAGGGTTTACAGTGAGCTTTGCCGGAACGATAAAGGCAGAGAGCTACTTTTTTAACGGCCCTGGGAAAAAAAACATTGGTGATATATTGGCGTGAACAAGCCTGATATTGGCTACAGTCATTATTTCATTCATTCCTTCATTTTCTACCCCTTTATTTGTCCATTTCTGGGTCGGAGGGGGTGACAATCAGAGCTGCCCCCCAAGTCTACAGTCTACAGAGACTCCCGAGCTACAGGTTGGAGGTCCCTGTGCTAAAGTATGACCTTTCAGTGCTCTGCTTTGTTCCTACCCATGCTTTAAACTTCACCCCAGCTTCAATCCTGACCTCTCCGGTGGTATTCTCTTTGTGCCCCCGAGGCCACCACAGAACAGAGATTAGATAACACTCAGGTGGGTTAGACATTTATCAGTCGATCGGAGAGAAGACTGAATACATCTCGGCAACAGATGAAATAAAATCTAAGCGTCTGTTGCTGTAAACACAAAAAATACGTTCACAGCTCCAAGTTGTGTTTCCACTTTTCCAACCCACTATCTGCAATGTTTTTCTTACACGCCTCAGTTTAGTTGCCCCCTGCTGTGCGTGCTTGTGATTGTGGTTTTTGTTGTCTCACTTTTCATTCACTGGAATTGCTTTTGGAACGTCGGAATTATGGTTTTATTTTTTCACCCCAAAACAAATGGACGGAATATTAGAGTAAAGTCTGTATTTGTTTTGCTGTTGTTCTATTGCGGTGTCCAATATCGATGTGTGTCCCTTGGATTTATGGAATATCTCCCGTTTCCAATACAGCCTCCCTCACAAATGGATATTGTTTCAAGGTACACCTGGCTCACGTTTGGAAAATCAATGTCTTAGTGATTTTTGTGTCGCTTGGACTTACACACAACTGGTTTTTATCCATAAACAGGACAAAGACATGTGTGCGGTACAGCTTCTGGGTCTGGATTAGTCTGGTTCCATCATGGTAATAAACGACAACAACAACAACTTATGCTATTAATATAATATGCAGAAATAATTAGCAAAAAATGAAAGCAATGAAATGCAAATTTGGCACAACATTGACGTTTAGTTTAGTTTAGTTTAGTTTAGTGTGCTTTTATATATATATTCTTTACATTAAATTAATATAAGGCACTCGTATATCCTCTCTCACACTGACATGTACACGCATATATACAGTACATACACACAAACACTCATACATGCACATACACACATAAATACATATACACACTCATGTACACTCATATACATACAGACACACACTCATAATATACACTCATTTACATATATACTCACACACATACACACACACTCCCATACAAACACACACACACTCTGCTGAGGGGGTGTTTGGTCTTTCGACTCTGAAGTGTTTCTCACTGATGCTGTTCCTGCTGCTGTGGAAACATCAGTCCCATCTGACCTTCAGCCTGAGAGGAGCTCCCTTTGCTTAGCACACTCACACCGAAAACACACACACACACACGTGCTCACACACACACCGAAAACCTCCACCTACATGTACTTACACAATCACAAAAAACCTACTCATGCACGCACGCACACACACGCACACACACACACACCTGTCCCCTTCGGGCCTCTCCTCAGGTCCTCTCTGGATCTGCTGACTCACCTTTGTCAGCAGCTCTTGGCTCCAACACTCACCTCTTCTCTATAATGTATATAATAATATAAATATAATATAAATATTAAAAAAATAACACTCTATAATGGTCTTTTGGCTTGTGTGTCTTTGATACCTTTGCACTTTTTCATTCTGTGTTGCAGAGAAGCTGCTTTCGAAACACAAGCAGACATCTTCCACTCCGAGTAAAAAGAGTTTAATCCAAGCATTTGTTATTCTCACTCGAAGCTCGCCGCCAGAAACCAAAATATGAATCACATTAAGTTGGTGAGATGCATACAGAGTGAGCTGAGTCACTAAACTTATGCGCTCTGCTTACAAAACACCACTTTCAATGAATTCTGTCCTGGACATAAGTAGAGATGATCATAAGTATTAGAAGTTGGAAATAAAGGGTTGCATAGTCGACAGCTGTGAGTCAGGCAAGCGTGACTGATGCAACAGATTGGATGTAAACAGGAAACACACTGCATGTATAATTAGGTTGTTCCTTAATTATACACAAGTCAAATTATGTGTTTTTACCCATTATTTCAGGGTCTTAAGAAGTAGAATTGTAAACGCATCCTCAATATGAACGATTGTAGATATTGCTATGGTGTTAAATGGGGCTTTAAAGGAAGCCTTTTGTGGAAAAATATTTTGGTGTATATTTATGTTCATTAGTGAGATAGACTTATGAAATGGAGCGTTTTTGCCATATCTTTAAGGATAAAAATCATGAGATCGTCAGTCTTCAAAAGGTGCCGGAGGTTTAAAGTGTGCAAAATCACAGCCATTTTCACATTATAGGCTAAAGTCAACTAATCTTTTTAATATAATATTGTTAATTTTATGTTTTTACCGCTATGAATTGGTCAGCCTCACTGTCAATCAGATTCAGTTTATTCCCCATTTGCTGGAATACATCTGCAAAAGTCCCCAC